AATATAAAAGAGTTGTGGTTGATTCTCCATCACTAATAAGTTTTAAATCAGGATGGGATGTTTTCCTAAATTAAAGATCTGATCTAGGAGTTATTTTAAGGAATTTCTATGGGGTCCATGTTATGCAGGCGGTCAGACTAGATGACAACAATAGTCTCTTCTGGCATTACAATCTATACACTCAGAAAAACATTTGAGCTTATACTTAAATCCATCGCTATTCAGGAATGCACAATTAATATTAAGCATATGCCTAATTAACTCTGCCATGAAGCCTCTAGGGGTTTCATGCCAGTCCCAAGCCTGGATAAAGGAGGAGAGTTGGTCAGATGAGTGTCAATGCACTGGTTGTAAAACAACAATACAAATTAAATCTGATGCAAGTACGACCAAATGACAAAAGACGCCGACTTGGACATCCCCCAGATAAACAAGGTCCATGATACCAATCAAGTGATCAGGGTTGGGTCGATAAGTGGGCTACTGAAAGGAAACTACAACTAACACAAATCACACAATATTTTGTCTAGCACTTCTTTCCTCTTCTAGCATTCTGAGGGGTTCTAGAGGTAGAACCACCCAGTCTGGAGGTGCTACTCTTACCTGTATTTAGAGAAGCTGATGTAAGCTGAAAGGAGAATTGCACTTCTTGTATTCCCATCTCTTTTCAGTAAAACAAGAAAGGAAATAAAATTCATTTGTACAAGAGATGAAAAAATTGTGATTTTTGACATGGCTAATCTATCCTACTTACACTTTACCAGAAAAGACAAAAGTAAAAAGGACAATTAAACAGACTGTGTAGAGACAAGCAATAAACTGAAAAAGCCAACAACAATACATCACAAACAGCTCAGTAAATAATAGAGCAATTTTCATAGCTAATAGAATGGTTTAACACCTGAATACATTCATATGCCTGATTAAACACAAACAACATAAACCTATAAAAGAAGATTATAAGTTGCAATATCTATTTGCAAGTACTCTCATATTAACCACTGTTGTATTCTTCTCCAATTACATTCCTTTAATTATTTTCATTAGGAAAGCAGTTCACATTAGAATAGTCACCATCACTTTGGGTTTAAAACAATTGATTGCATTATATATACAGTATTTTGCCAAACTGCAGGTCTAAGTATTGGTCTTAGGCCTGCTCTACACTAGTTACATCATTCAGGGCTGTAAAAAGTTTCACATCATAACCAGTGGAATTAGGTTGACCTAAAACCAGTGTTGATGTGGCTAAATCAACAGAAACCGCCTTGGAGAAGTCGGTTAACCACAGCAATGGGAAAAATCTCTTCCACTGATATAGGAAAGAACTATATTATGGCATTAAAATGGCATTGCTGCCGCAACATGGCTGTAGTGTAGCCACAGCCATCACATAATTTTTACTTAATTTTGCTCAGATATGATTTATAGATTAGTATTATGAAGAACCTTCCTGTTTTAGCCCCAGGCAGTCTCATTGGAGCAACATAAAAATAACTTGCCATGAAATACATTGGGACAGTTACCACATGGACTAGAAATCAAAATCAAGGGTCTTCAAAGCAGGAAAGAGGTACACATTTAAACTTTCTTCTAAGAGACACAGACTATAATAACAGAGCTGACCATTAATCAGGGAAGTCCAAGTTCTATCTCTGTGAATGGCCAATACCTTATGTTTTGGAAAACAGTAAAATAACTCATATATATAGGGCGCATCTACACAGCAGGGCTTAACTCAACATAAGCTATGCAAATTGAGCTACATCAATTGCGTAGCTTATTTTGAAACAGATTATTTCACGTTTTGATGCTGTCTGCACACCACTTATTTTGAAATAGAGCACTCTTCCTCCAGCTTCCCTTAATCCTCATAAAATGGGGGTTACAGGAGTAGGAGTAAGAAGTCCTCCAGCTTGACAGTATTTCAACATTATGCTGAAATAACTGCCTGCTTTGTAGAGACGGACTATATTATTTTGAAATAACACTAGTTATTTTGAAATAATTTTGCTGTGTAGATATAACCATCAATGGCTCTGTAGTGGCAAGTAGCAGATGCTTCAGAGGAAGATATAAGAACCCCAAAGTAGGCAGTGTTACAGATATGACAATTTCCTGCAATATCCTTTAAAGACCTTATTGTATTACGAGTTTATATTATGGTGGGGTGGGACTGTATGTGACTTCTCTAGGAGGAAGATTAATCAAATAGAAGTCTTATCAGTACATCAAAAAGACATCAATAATAATGCAGAAAAACTAAAAGTGTTCAATTAATGTTTCTGTTTTGTATGAAGATTGATAGGTTACATGGGATAATTTGTTCAAAGCACCTTTGAGTTAAGAATATTTGTGTCCATAAGTCTATTTCATAAAGCATGGGGAGGGGGAACATTAGAGCAACATTTTAAATAAGACTGTTGGCAGTGGCAGTCCTGAATATTCTGTAATATCTCAAGCTGGGGTGTGAGAAGTGTCTGAGGTCAAGACCAACAAATACTTTAACGTGAACTGCTTGACTTCAATGAAGATGGGAGGAGCCAATCCCTACATTTTTCTTTTTGCCTTGTAGCAATTTAAACTTTATGCTACTCTTCCTAATGTCCTCTTTTTTCTCTCCTCTTTCACATCTGCAAAGAAAAAAACAAACCAAAAAACCCTTCAAGTTCTACTTAATAATATAAAAAGCATGCATTGACCAGAGTCTGCCTTCTTCACACTGAGTAGCACCTTGCTCCACAAGTTTGTGAATATAAGGAAACACAAGAAGAGAGCAACAAAGTAGTAAAATGTTCATTCAAATAATGTTTGTTTTCCCTGCTAAAGAGAAAAGAACTGAGCACCAATTCATCTCATGTCTTCAAATAGTATGAGAAACATATGAGAAAAAAACATTTACAAAATAAGCAAACTGAACTTGCAAACTGCTCCATGGGCCCCATTGAACTCAGCTGCAGTTTGCAGTATCATGGCCTAAGATTTGGATCCTCAAAGATATTTAAGTCCCCAACTGGCATATACTTCCACAGAAAATGCGAGTCGTGTCTTGAAGGCTGTGGGCCTAACTCGCACACAAGCCATCCTTAGCCCTTCCTTCTTTTCCCTTTATTGCTTACATTCTCCTTTTTCCCTTATCACCTTTTATTCTTTTCAGTCCTTCATCCTTTATTTTTATGTATCTATTGTACACTGCATGGGTGGTTGATTTTTATATTAAACACTCTGGACTAAACCTCCAAGCATTTCAAATGCAAGCAACATTGAGTCCTGTTTGCACAGGACCTACTCCAAAGTGATGTTTAATGTTCTTGTGCTCCTGTTGGTTCTGCAGAAGATAACTAGAAAATACTATTGCTAGAGCTGTGCACATGTCTGCCAGCATAATCTCTGCTTAAGTTTGTACACAAAATAGGGAAGAACACAATGGAATCATGTTGGTTTTTCTTCCATTAAAAACAAAGGAAAAAATCTTTGAGTGCCAAGTGGATCTGGTCAAGATTACTCAAAATACATGTTTAAATTCGTCCTGGCTGTAACAGTACACAGTAGTTCAGTGCAGCCAGGATGGATTTGGACCACTTTATTTAATAGCTTTTAACAAAGTGGAAAGTGCCATACTTCTGGTGCCCCTTTACTATCATTTTATAACAAGCAATGAAAAACAGCAATTTAGTGCTGATACAATGCATCTATTGTGCTACATTGTACTACATTAGGAGACTGAAATATTATACCTAGGTGCTTTACTGTCAGACTAAACTAAGGAAAGCTTTAGTGACACAGAGCTTTGGAAGAGATAATGTCTACAAGCATCATCCTTTAGGGTCAGGGGTATGGCCCCTGACTGATTTTTCTAAAGGTTCCCCACCCTTATTTTTGCTCGTCCTTCTTATTTGCACTATTCCTGAAATCCATTGTCTCTATTTTGCTGTTCTCCCTTCTACCATTCCTTAGAATCATGAACTCTTATGATTTCATGATCACTTTCACCCAAAGCTGCCTTCCACTTTCAAATTCTCAACCAGTTCCTGCCTATTAGTTAAAATCAACTATAAAACAGCTTCCCCTCCCTCCCAGTAGCTTTTTCAATCTTCTGAAAAATAAAATTGTCTTCAATGTAGTCCAAGAACTTATTGGATAGTCTGTGCCCCGCTGTGTTAGTTTTCCAACATATGTCTGGGTAGTTGAAGTCCCCCATTAGCACCAAATCTTGCGCTTTGGATGATTTTGCTAGTTGTTTAAAAAAAGAATAATCTATTTATTCTACCTGGTGTGTAATAGACCCCTAGCATGATATCACTTTTGTTTTTTTACCTAATTCAGAGACTCTCAACACATCTGTCTCCTATGTCCATCTCCACTTCAGTCTAAGTGTATACATTTTTAATAAATAAAGGCAACAATTTACCCTGCATATCCTGAGTAAACTGTACCCTTCTATATCACTATTCCAATTGTGTGTATTATCCCACCAAGTTTCTGTGATACCAACGATGTCATAGTTGTGTTTAGTTTTTTACATGTTTGTACATTTTATCATTTTTCCATAATTTGCATGGTCTTACTTTGCTTATGACGCCAATCATTAGAAAAAACGTGCATGCAGAGGGAAATAACACCTATTAGAAATATTATATAATAATATTTGTCACTTTATATAGCTATCTTTATCAGTGTTTCATAATGCCACCCATTACCACAGTATCTGAACACCTTCCATGTAAAATCGATAGCAATAGTGGACATCATGGCGGACTCTGTTTGGGGTTTTTTTCTCCCACCTTTCGATTTTTGAACATTTCCTTTTTGCAAGAGTGAGGATTGACAACAGTTTATTGTGTTAAAGGGGCTGTCAGTGTTGTGTGTTTCCTATGATGGCAAGGTCTTTCCAAACAGGAACTGTTTGCAGTGATTCCTAAAGACAGTCAGACTCTGGATTCACCCGCTTTCCTGTGGACATTTTGGGGTTTTTTTCTCCCACCTTTCGATTTTTGAACATTTCCTTTTTGCAAGAGTGAGGATTGACAACAGTTTATTGTGTTAAAGGGGCTGTCAGTGTTGTGTGTTTCCTATGATGGCAAGGTCTTTCCAAACAGGAACTGTTTGCAGTGATTCCTAAAGACAGTCAGACTCTGGATTCACCCGCTTTCCTGTGGACATTTGCTCCATCACTCATCCTTCTTATTTGCACTTTTCCTATTTGTGTTTTGCTAAAATCCGGGTCTGGTCTGGTCATTGTACAACTGCACAGGGCAACGTGGTCCATATCCCAGAGCTTTGCAACCTGTAAGATTTTGATAATATTTCTTCCTTTTTAGCCCCATCCCCTCTAGGCCCTTGGCAAACCTGCCCTTTCTTAGAGTTGACAGGCATTTACAAAACTGAAAAACTTCTGTGCTACCTTCTTTGTCCATCACCGATGCGCAGAGCCGCCAGGGGCGGATTCATTGGAGCAGAGCGAGTATAGTTGGTCTGGGCCTCGATTTTCTAATCCGCTCTGCCAAGGGCGGGTGTCCCGCTGCCCACCCCTGCACTCAGCCTCCCAGCTCTCTCCGGCCCTCGGTGCAGCGGAAGCGCTACCGCCCTCCTGCACGCCTGGCCCCGGTTTGCAGGCGCGGGGGCTGGTGGCGCCCTGAGGAGGCAGCCGCTGCTCGGAGCTCAGGAAGCCAGGGGGGCGCGCCCGGGCCACACGCGCCAGCGGAGCCAGAAAGGGGCTTCCCACGCGGCGCCATTGTCCCGGAGGGTGAGGTCACAATGCTCCCCCCGCGCGTTCTGTCGCGCCGTGTCCTGGACACCGAGCCCCGCCGCGGGGCAGGGGCCGGAGGCGCCGCGCTGAGCATGGTGCGGGCCAGAGCGACTGCGGCTCCCGCCTCCCTCCTGCTTCTCCTCTGCTCCCTGGGCGGGGCCGACACGGGCCCCGCGGGGGAGCCTGGCCCAGGTAGGGACCTTCCACTGGCCCCGCGGGGATGGGAGTGGGGCCTAAAGCCCCCTGACTCCAGAGATTCATACCAGCATGCTGCTTGCTGTTTCCCTTCCCATCCGGGAGCAAGAGGAAAGCACACAGCGTGCCTGCATCCCGCTCCCTCCTGGCTGGGGAGGAGAAGGGAGGGGACACACAGGCTTTCCTCTCACTCCCTGAGAATGTTGAAGGGGAACAGCAAGCAGCAGCATGGTATGAAACTCGAGGGAGGGAGATCCTAAGCCCCCCTGCCTGCCCTATATAGCACCCTTGCCAACCTTGCATTTCCCCCTTCCACACATACCCAAGCCTCCTGCCCAGAGCCTCTCCTCACGCCACCCAAGCTTGACTCCTGTAATCCCCCACCACCTGCTGCTCTCAACTGCCACACCCCAAGCCTTTCCCCCTGATTCCTTCACACACACCCCATTTTCCCACCCCTTGCCCTGAGCCCCCACACCTCATCCCATATTTAAATTTCTTACCTCCAACCGTCTGCCCCTCTCACACTCTCCTGGGCATGTGTGTACAATATCTGTAAGAAATTTAAATTACGTTCACCTCTGGATAGAGGTCGGTAAAATCATAACTGGTCTGGAAAAAGTGAATATAAAAGAGTTATGTATTCCTTCCCATAACACAAAAACTAGTGATCAACAAATATCAAACTCCTTGCCCAATGATGTTGCAAAGACCAAGACTGTAACAAGGTTAAAAAATGAGCTGGATAAATTAGTGGAGGATAGATCCATTTATGGCTAGTAGTCAGAATAGTCAGTGGTGGTGTTGCTAACCCAGAAGTGGGCAATAATTTTTGATAGGGGAGGGCACTTCAAGAATTTGGTAAGTGGTTAAGGGCTGCTCTCTTCCATTATATTAATGGAGGAGGTGAGGGGTCTGGGATAGTGGTTGGGTGCAGAAGGGAACTTGGAGTACGGGATTTGGAAACAGGAGAAGCTGTGGGTTCTGGGAGGGAGTTTGGATGAAGGAGAGGGTTGTAACCTGGGGCAGGACACTGGAGTGCAGAAGGAGGTGCAAGGTTCAAGAAGGGTATGGGTGCAGGAAAGGATTCTGACCTGAAGGAGAGTAGTAGGAGAGGGTTCAGAGTCTGGGGTGGGGGTATGGGTGCAGAAGTGGGGGTACAGAGGGTTTGTGTTATGTGCGGGAGAGGTGCAGGAGGAGGAGCAGAGGGATGGGAGAGTGAAGGGCTTGGGTACCAGAGGCAGACTCTGGCTGGGAGGCGCTTACCTGGGAAGCTCCCAACCAGCAGTCCTTCCTAGCTGGCTCCTTGGCCAGGCAGGGGCCATATGTGCTTCTCTGAATGTTGTGAGCGAGGATAGAGGAGAAAGGGGTACTTCACATATTGCCTGCTCTGCAAATAGGCAGCGCCCCTATGGCTTGCAGCATTCAGAAAGCCGTTCTGACCAGGGGGCAGGGTGGACAAGGAGCTGAGGTGTCCTCTGCGCCCGTGGACCATATCTGGTGACTTGGCGTGCAAGATTCAGCCTGTGGGCCATATTTTGCCTGCCCCTGCCCTAGCCTCTGTTTGTCAGATGCTAGGAATGTAAGACAGGGGGCGGATCCCTTGCTGATTGCCTGTTCTGTTCATTCCCTCTGGGGCACCTGACATTGGCCACTGTCAGCAGACAGGATCCTGGGCTAGATGGACCTTTGGTCTGACCCAATATAGTCGTTCTTATGATCCTATGTTTTTTCTAGCTGCTCTATGGGAGAAAACCTGCCTAAATAGAAACTATAGTCAAACTCTCAGTTATATGCCAGGAATGTTCTACAAGTGTTCACATAGTACAATGCTAAAATAAAATTATGCCATTTTTGTAGTTCTCTCAAAAATGTGAATTTACTTCCCAACAGAGTTTTTCCTGCTGTTCTTTTCCACTGATACTTCCAAATTATTCCATGGGAGTGTTCATGCTATTTATTCTATGAAACCAGTTTATCTAAAATGTATACACATGTGAATGTTCTGGAGGGAGAAAGGAAAGTTGTGTGCAATCTCAAAAGAGTATAAATACTAGAAATTAAGAAATTTGTTACCGTAATACAGTGGCAGTAAATAGTATATTTCAAGTATAAAGGCTGCCAATAAATAATGGCAGCAGGATAAGTAATACAATAAGTGCTTTCTGTAATGTATCGTTAAATACCATATAGTTATTGTAAAAACATAAATATTTTACTGCATATGCTCACTGCCTGCCTGGCACAATATCTCTATTGTAATTATGGGACAGACACAAAGTGAAAAGAATATTTTTAACAAGGGCTCATATGATGCAGCTGTATCCATTCTTAATCATTCATTAATGTCTCATCAAAAGAGTACTGTACTTTTTGTTTGTTTCATTTACCAAAGGTCAGCATACTTGGAAGCAATTGTCATACACCATTACAGACCTTTTTACATATTTTTCTGGTATTGTTCTAAGCCATCATGTGCGTAAATGAGTCAATTGGTATGCAGATTGTCTATCATTAAAACCATTTCAAAATCAGCTTTGTCATTGGTTTCGAGTTAGAACTTTAGTTTCTTGTATATACTTCACGAATGCATTGTGGTGTTCATAATTGGTATGGTAGGTGGTTATGTCAAACTCTTAAGGCCCCAGTTTTTCAGTGAGAGTTTTGCCTGAGTAACATAGTCTTTATAATAGATCGGGTTACCAATGGTATTTTAAACCACAGGGACCTGAACCAAATGTTCGCAGTCCCAGAGAGCTATGGTATCAGAACTTTCAGGGTGAGACCCACTATTAGAAATACCATTAGGTTTGGAGACTCTTGGAGCACATGAGGAACAATAGTAATGAGCACAACAACATTCACAAATGTCCTTTTAATTAATCATTTTGTTAGGCATGTGAACAAATCCACAATTACTGAGACAAAACACAGAGATAGAAAGAAACCACAAAACATCTAACATCAAAGATTATACTCACATCCCAAAGGGCACTATAGAGATGGGCATATCTCTCAGCATATGGTCATTTGTGGAGGATCTTCTGTTGGAATCTTCCTCCCATGTTGGGGAACACCTTTTTATTTTGTGTTACACTCATGGTCATAAGCCTTATGAATATGTGTATGGGTTCCAACCCCTCTTCCCATGTCTGGACTTCCACACCCATGAATGTTGCAGTTTCTGCTTTTCCTTAAGCTATCTTCTTAGATGCCCTTTGTTAGCATTTACATCAATAAATAAATACCGAGGCAAAGGTGTTAGTATGACTGGTTATATTTTGGAAATAAAATTTAACTATATTTGTGATTCTTATAATAGATTCTTATTGTAAAATGTTTCATTTTCAGATGCACAAGTTCCAGTCCTTTCCAAAAATAAAATTAAATCAATGATTAAATTACTCAGTAAGTAGCATTTCATTTATCTTAATTTACAGTATTTATTAATTACTATGTGCATGCAGTCTAGACTATAATGTCTTGTGTTATACTTAAACTATAAATCCATCACAGAAGAGCACTCAGCAAAATATTTCAATGACTGACATGAAAATGGGTCAAGACAATCCACAATAGAAAATATCATTAATAGATCTGTCAATATAAAGATTTTTAAAATAATTTTACTACTACTTGTAATTTAGGTCATGTCTATGTTATAGACAAGAGGTGTAATTCCAGCTCAGGTAGATGTATGCTGTCACCTCTGCTCAAGCCAGTGCACTAAAAACAGCAGTGTGGCCACAGTGGCATGGGTAACAGCTCGGTTTAATTGGCCGAGTACATACTTACGATCTCAGCCATGGCTGTTCTTGGGTGGTGAACTTGAGCTGTTGCCTGTGCCTCTGCAGTCATACTGCTTGTTCATTGTGCTAACTCAAGTGCTCGGATACACAAGCTGGAAATTATAGTGCGGGAGGTCAGGGGGAGTTTCAGCCATTTTATTTCCTGTTGTTATTTTTCCCTTGAACTTCATCTCTCTTCAGAGATTGCTGTCATTTACAATCTGAATATAAACCAGGCTCTGAAATTTTTGTACTGAAGAACTAAGTGTTTTGGAAACTACTTTGGCTTTTCTTTCTCCACGCAGAAAAGGCAGCAAGGGAATATCTTAGTGCAGAGGCTGTTTAAATAGACTACATAATGTATTGATCGTGGTTATAAAGAAATGTGTGTCCAAATACCAAAAAGGCAAAAAGTCTCAAGAAAAGAGGGCTCACTACCAAAGAGACAGCCACAGCAGTGTCCAAAATTCTTGATTGGAACTCTGCGCACCACCACTCAATATAATTGTATAGATTAAAGGGCTAGCTCAAATGCTACTTTTGGAAAATATTTCTTCAGTCCCTCTTCCATTTTCCATTCTTCTGTCATCATCATAATGAAAGAATGTGTCATACCAGATGTTAGCTTCATCTGGGGGGAGTAATTTTATGAAGGAGAAAACTAAAGACACTCCACTTAACAATGGCTAGCATTTGATGAAAATCTTAAGGTCACATTCACACAGTGCCTCCTTTTACCCTGTCACAGGACCCAGGTAACAACACCTCTGACCCTTTCTTGTGTCTTCAAACACACCAATCTCTCAGGCCTCTTCTCATCATTTCCAATGGTAAAGGGGGTATGGTGGAAGGAGAAAACATGGTTCTCCCAATCTCAGGCTGGGCCCGGATAACTGTTCCCTGGTGTTAACTGTGGTTCACTCAGTAAGTCTGATTTGGTTCCTATAGATCTGTTCTCTCTGGAAGCAATGACAATGGTAATTTGAGACCAAACAGCCTTCTTCAAACAGTGAATCAGTTATTAGAACAAAGGCAGTTCAGAGAAAATACACCTTTAAAACAATAAATCATCTTATTTTCATGCCTTTTTTTCCCTAAGGCTTATTCCCCGAATTTGGGAAGGACGAGCTCCTTCGGACACTGCTACAGAGTATGTGCTCTGGTCTACACCACAAACTAATGTCTGTCTAACAACGTCACTCAGGCTACGTCTATACTACACTCCTCTTGTGAAGGGGAAATGCAAATGGAGTGCTCATTTGCATATGTCACACTCTCATTTGCATTTCCACTTCCTTTCCCTTTTCCGCAAGAGGTTTTTGCACAAAAAAGAGCTGTACAGACAGTGCCTTTTTGTGCAAAACCCCCCTTTTTTGATGAGCCGTTCTTCATCAAGAAATGAGCACTACATTTGCATTTCCTCTTCTGCAAGAGGATCATAGTATAGATGTAGCCTCCGGGGTGTAGAAAATCCAAATCCTGGAGCAATACAGGTTTACTAACCTAACTGTTGGCATAGACAGCACTATGTTGATGAGAGGGTTTCTCTTGTCAACGTTAGAGGCAGAGTACCTACGCAAAGCGGAGAAGTTCTCCTGTCGGTGTGTCTTCTCTAAGTGCATCTGTACTAGTGCAGCACTGTAAGTACAGACAAGCCCTATTTGTCAGCATGTCTTCCTAGCTGAGCTCACTGACACCTGGCTTCCTTCCACTGAGAAGTACTTTTTAGTTGTCTTATTCCCATCCTGACAAAACAGCTGTCACTTTAGGTTGGGGCTGGAAGTATATCACTGTCTTCTAATTGGCGCCCTAAACCAGGGGTTCTCAATCGGGGTATGCAGATTTTCCATGGGATATGTGAACTCATCTAGATCATTGTTACTCAGTCTGCGGGTTGTGATCCTGGGGATGGAGGGTAGCATGAGATGGGTTTAGGCATGGGTGGGGAAGCTAAGGCCTGGGGGACGGATCCCCGGCTTGCCTGGATCTGGTCCTCAAGGCTTAGGGCCACTCAGCAGTATTGGGGAGCACTCCAGCTCCTCCGCCACTGGCGCATACAAAATGTACTAGGCTGGGTCCCACTAGGCTCCGGTGTGTGGGGAGAATGTGGGGAGTGTCTTTCTCCTTCTCAGTCAGGGACCAGGTCAGTGAGGGTGGGTTTTTTTGTTTGCTTTATTTTTGCTTCTCACTTATGTGCAGCTCCTGACTGATTTTTCTGTGGGTCAGTGGCCTCCCACCTACCCAAAAAAGGTTCCTTACCCCTGGTTTAGGGGGTCACAAGTACAGTGCTGACTGGGGCTCCAAGCCACAGAGAGCACCATGAAGTTATATGCTTCAGACCCAGGCGACAGGGCTCAAGTCAGGTCTCATTTGTCTGGGAAGGTTAGCAACCACTGCAATAAACATTTGGACAGAGGTTGCTTATCCAGGAAGCCATTGTGTTTTCTTTGTGTTTATACCTCCCACCGTCAAGTCTTATACCCTGAATATGACAACTTCAGTAACCAGGTCACATACAAGGTTCATAAAATAGGTACCTCTTAGAATGTACAAACTATTGCACAGCAACCCCTACAGTATTCATAAGATTATTACACATCAAATCTACTCTGTCATATTTCCTAATTTGAAGTCTCTCTAGTATCACCGGTAGATATGAACTAAAAGGGATTGAACTGCAGTAACTCCTTTAAAGGTGCAGTCTCAATGTGATTATTCATCTGGGATAATTGTGTGCTTATTCTGTGTGTATGGTGCACAGCTCCAAGAGTTCAGGTCTGGAGAGGCAATGAATGCAGGAAACTGTACTTCCTGGTTAGACATGAATTAGTTTTTCACCTTAGTTTACATTTCATTTTTATGAGGTTACTCTTGACATAAGGATTCTATACTCGCATTCTCAGTTTCTTTAAAGTCCTTAAAAACCTCATGTACTCATGTACATTTTTTCTCTTATTAAATCCTTTTATGTAAGATGTTTGGGATTGTTTATTTTTCTTCTCTCCTATATTATAGATATATTTCACTGGTTACATTAGAAGCCATATTTTATTGACTGTAATTCTTAATTACAATTTGCTATTGTATTTGACACTTTTAGGACAGTTTAAAATACTGTATAAATATTTGCTTTTCCCCCTCCACAACTAGTCATTCACATATTTTATTTTAGATCACCGGATCCAAGTTCTGCACCAGAAGAATATGATGCATGAACATAAACTTTCAGAAAAACAAAATGAAGTGTTAAGTGCGCCCGTGAATATAACAAATGTAAAAGGCAAGTATTCCCAATTTTAAAATATCTTATCTATCCCTGTGCCAGCACAATGTCAGTGCATTACTTACATCTCCTTCAACTTCAAAAAACTGAGCATAAGTGAAACTTAAATAGTGTACAGGCCATGTGCTCGCTATCTGATTTTATACCTACTCTGTGTACATACAGAATTATGATTTTAACATGTACAATTATATTGTTTCAGGGTCATCTGTAAAAACGCTGTTATTACCAAGTGGAGTGCAGATTGATGTACAGGAGATGCCATCATCTAACAGCGATGCAGCTCACGTTTCTAACACTTCTTCAATGCTGATTATTAACAAGCTGCAGAAGATTTTCCCAAATATATTTTTAGAAACTCAGACAAAATATAAGCAAGTGGGTAATGAAAAAAACGAAGAGGGTAAAAAAAAAAGGTGGTTGTATCCTGATTTGGAGCAAGATACTGGTAATAACAAAAACAGATTGACAAGAACTAATATTACCATAAGATTCCATTCCAAAGATAATTCAAGCCAAACTCAGATTGATATTTATAATTTAAAACATTCAAGAGCGAATCCTGAGGTGCATATTGTTGCCAGCAATATTGTTGACCAACAAAATAAAATAAACTCAGTAGTAGTACAAGATGATGTTTTGCAAGTGACTGTAAACAATTCACTGGTTAAGAAAATACAGGATAATAAAAAAGTAAGAAGAAAAAGTTTTGCAGAAATTGAGGCTGGAAATGTGGAAAGAAACTCCACAGATAGCAACAGGAAAAAACTTCTTATAGAAGGTATGAAATTATTTTCTCTTTTCAATTCTATGTGAAAGTTATTTCTATGTTGTTGCAAAGTAGGATGATTTTTACCATATTATTTAAAAATAACCTGTAAACTCCTTACTCACATTGATGAGTAATTATTTGTATGTACAGTCTCACTGATTTTAATTGTGATAGAAATTACAATAACCGTGTTAGTATGGTGTAGCTGAAACAAAATACATAACTTGCACAGATACAGAGTGCTACATAGTCCTGTATTTTGATTTTAATTGGACTTTCTGTGAGTAAAGGCTCACTATATGTTAGTGGTTCTCAATGAAGTACAGGCAGTCCCCGGGTTACGTACAAGATAGGGACTGTAGGTTTGTTCTTAAGTTGAATCTGTATGTAAGTCGGAACTGGCGTCCAGATTCAGCCGCTGCTGAAACTGATCAGTTTCAACAGCGGCTGAAT